TTGTTCGCTCTCTGAATTCATGGGCTGGAAACTTAATCCTCAAGTTGATATGGTAACGGTGTTTGTAGGTACAGCCTTTGGGAGCTAATTAGGATCAGAGATCAGAGGAGGTAATGAAGGCAGAGGCCTTCCACGGGAGGGGGTGGGGGGCTGGCTTTACAGACAAGGGAGAGAGACCTGAGCATGCTTGCACTTCCTCTGCCCTGTGTGGTACTCTCTGCTGCATTGTGATGCAGGAAGAAGACTTTCCTGATGCTGAGTGAGACTATTCTCCATAAATTATCCAGCCTCAGATGCTCTAACAATAACAAACAAAGGTGAGGTATTGACTAGCAGAACAATTGCACTAGAGAGAGTTTTTTTTTTCTTTTTCTTTTTTTCTTTCTTTCAACATATGGAAACAATAGCATTTTTATTAGCAGATCGGCTGCATCTATTGAGGAATGCAAAGTTCATGGAAGATGAAGGAAAGGGGGATTTTTTTCAGGAGGCGTGGCCTTGAGTTCCTGAGCCTACATGGAGAAGTCAGCAGAGGGATGAGGAAGGCTTGTCTGACAACGGAGAAGGCAGAGCACTGGTCTTGGTGCTGGCAGAGAAAGAGAAGAAGAGAAGGAGGAGGAGGAGGAAGAGGAAGAGGAAGAAGAAGAATATAGTTGGTGGAATTTCTCCCCTGAGAGGTTCTATGCATTCAGTGAGATCACTGGCTGAGAGGATGGAGACTTCAGGAGAGAGGCAAAAGGAAAAGTCACAAAGCAAGCAGGCACACTGGGGAACTTATGGACTCACTGAACATAAAGCAAGCTTCTCAGGGGTGTTATATGCCATGTCCAGCCAGATGCAGGCTGAGGCCTTAGCTTCCTTCAGCATCCATTCCTGTTCCTGACTTAGTCCCTGACTACTGAGAAAGCTGGAGGATCCAGCAAGCAGGCTGCACATTTGCCCCAGGGTAGAGGTTCACATCCCTAAGGGACAGCAAAGCTCAGGCAGAAGCTTGGTGGTGGTGGGGGGTTCCTATGTATCCTAAAGGGTGCATCGTGGGGCCTTCTAAGGCCTTGCTTGTTCTCCCAGGCTGCCCTGTTACTGTAGAGGACACAGTGTTGGGGAGGGATGTGGGAAGACAGCCAAAGAGGAGGAACCCTAAAGAGCATCTCACCGAGAATAAGAGAAACCCAAAATGCCCTGGTCCTGCATGGACAACGGCTCCCTCAGGCCCCAAACTCATGGTTTTCGTGCCGTGGTTCTTAGGCCTGCTGCTCCAGGCAGGACAAGTCCTTTCAGCTGGCCTCCCAGGAAGCTCTACCTCAACTTCTTCCTCTTTGACATCTGTGTTGCAACCTCTATTGGCCACCTTTGCACTGCCCAGCTGGAGAATCCCAATGATAAGGGCAGCTGGTTATTGAGCATCTGCTACATGCCAGTCAGTAGTTAAAAAGCTAACCTGATGCCCACTAAGCAAAACTCGCCTTTTACAAGCGAGAAACCCATGACAGCTACAAATGCTTTTCTCATTGATCTCTCTGGCCCTTCACGAATACCTTCCCCATTTCATCACAAGTGTGCTTCCTTTAACATCTACTTAAACATACATTCTGGGGCTGGAAGAATGTGGCTCAGTGGTTAAGAGCACTGGGCTTTTACAGAGGGTCTGGGTTCAATTCCCAGAGCCCACATGGAGGCTCACAACCATCTGTAACAACAGTGTCAGAGGGCCTGGCGCCCTCTTCTGGCTTCTGTGGACACACCAGGCATGCACAAGCATAACACATATATACTATATCTGTATATTCATATATAATATATAATATATAATATATATTAATGAAGGGTTACTTCTGTCACAGGACAGGTGGGTCTTCATTACCAAACTTGACTGTGTTGGCTGATCTGTTTCTTTCCTTCCAATAGGTCCTTCAGTCCAAGCTCTTGTCTCCTAAGGATACAAGTCCTTCCCCTCCCCCTTCATTCCTTGTGCTCTATAGACTGAAATAAACACATCCTGTCATGTCCTTTCCTGTCCCCCAGCACAAGGACATGTCTTTAGGAAGGTTTTATGGTGAGCCTCACCTCTCCAGCAACCTGAGAGGTGAGGACCCCCTCCCCCACCCCACAAGCCCTTGACTCCAGTCATGGGGATGGGAATGTATTTGAAATGTAAGTTTCCTGTTTAGATCTTTACTTCTCACTTGTAAAGGGTGTGTGTGTGTGTGTGTATGTGTTTACACGTGCCCCTTCGAGAATGCAAACACATGCAAAGCTGATTTTTTTTCAATCTGTACTTTAGAGCCCATTTCTTGGAAGGTAGGGTTCAAGACTCAAGCACCCCTTTTACACAGAACAGAGGTGGAAGCCCTTTACAGTAGGTGTGAGGTCAACCGCTTTTCTCTCTGATACACCGTAATAACATGAGGTCGTGAACTTTTTTTGTTTGTTTGTTTTTTTTGAGACAGGGTTTCTCTGTGTAGCCCTGGCTGTCCTGGAACTCACTCTGTAGACCAGGCTGGCCTCAAACTCAGAAATCCGCCTGCCTCTGCCTCCCAAGTGCTGGGATTAAAGGCATAGACCACCACCGCCCGGCTGGTTGTGAACTTTTATTTTATGTTTTGTTTGAGAAACCCTTGGTATAGGTTGATATAGTCCCAGTTTTAAAATATCTATCTATCTATTTATCTGTCTGTCTGTCTGTCTGTCTGTCATCATCTATCTATCTATTGCCTCTTCTTTAACATAGAATGAAGTCGACATCTTTCTCTAGGTGAGCAGATGGATTAGTAGGAGGTCAGGCTGGAATAATAAAAATAGTTGCTACGTATATTTAGTCATTTTGTCAAAAGTAGCTGTTGAACAACTTCTGCCATCTGCAGACTCCATGAGACAGGCATTTGTCACTCATATTAACACTATTCCCTTGAGGATCCAGCTCAGGGGTCCAGCACTTGCCTGGTGTGCTTGCGGACCCAGGCTCCATCCTAGAAAAAGAAAAATCCTCTCGCCTCCTTCTGTTTTATGTTTGTAGAGAGATGTTTTCGGGCTGAGGTGTACCTCAGAGTATGTCTACAGTGGAGTGAACACGTATAACAGAAGTGGGATTACATTTGAAATCGTGCATTATGGGTAATGATAGACTGAGGCCCCGACATGGTAATTAGTTTACAATGTGCTCCCATGAAAATATTCCGAGACCGTGATTAATGTTCCCTGCAGCAGCCAGCCCCTGTAAGTAGCTCCCATTGTACTTCCCAGAACTCCACTCTCCCAGGGTATTACGATAAATACCATGTTGCGTCTCCGGTTGTGCTAAGTGATTAGGTCTGGGTGTGAGAGGGAGGTGAGGTGAAACGGGGATAATGTCCAAGTGCTTGCTTTTCTGCTCTGCTAGACTCGCAGGAAGAAGGAGCCGGCCAGCCATAGAGGGCGTCTAAAGGTCCAAGGACATAACCCACAGCCCTCCTCACGCGTGCTTAGTCTATGAGGTTATAAACTGCTTCTCCAAAAGTGGTTTCAAAGTGAGGTTAGCACACTGTGTCATTTCAAGAAACCGTAAGTGAAGATGGAAAAAAAAAATCAATGCCAACCATTCACCAAGGAAACTCCTGGGAAGGCGGGGCACCTATGCTCGGAGTGTTTGAAGCGCCCCCTTCTGGTCTCATAGTAGACCCCAGATGTGGAGGGATGGAGGGCGTGACAAGGACCTGGCCCTCTGGACAGAAGCCACATGTGCAAGCGTCCTCACTCCTAGTAAATGCCAATAGATGTGTAGGAGCCAGAGAGTAGCAGCAAAGCCCAAGATACCAGAGTTACCTGTGAGTCACTCAGGACCCGCATACCAGTGGCTGGGTGCAGCACTAGCACAGCCAAGGGCCAGGGCACCCTGAGTCTGAAAGCACCGCAAGGGAGTTTTCACAGAGAGAGCATGTGAGCTTCGGAGAATAGCAGTTTCAGTGGGAGCCACCTACTCAGAGAGTCTACACGATCTGTGGGAGTCAGGTCTTATTTATGAATGTGTCCTCCATATTCAGCAATATGGGCGCACAGTGGGTGCTCAATAAACACTGTGGGAAGGGGGCTCCGAGCAAGGAGCAGCGCTGGGTGTAGCGTGGCATGCATTGGAGGAGTCCTGTTCACTAGGTTATCGTGTCTGTGACTTGAAAACGCTTCACAGTTGGAGGCTGCAAAATCATGCTGGGACTTAGTCCCCACGGTAGCAGCATTGTGGGGTCAGGGCTAGTAGTGGCAGTTTGGGTCATGTGGGCCAAGAGTGATTGAGTTTCCGTAAGAGACACTTGTTACAGGTCAAGCCTAGCCCTCGGGTTTTATCTCTTCCACATCTAGGCGCTTCCCTTGCCCCGTGAGTCAGAGCAGCAGGTGCCCTCTCAGAAGCAGAGCCGAAGCTGGTACCACACCGGAATGCTTTCCAGCTGCCAGAACCTCAAGTATAAATAACCTCTTGTCTTTCTTTATAAATTGCCCATTCTCAGGCATTCTATTACGGCAACAGAAAGCTGACTAAGATACCATTCAAAATCTGTTGGTATGGCCGGGCAGGGAGTCAGTAGACAGGATCTGAATCGAGTTTCAAGAAAAGTAATCTAGCCACATATAAAATATCATTGATAACTGCCTGACTCAGAAACCAGTTTTGGTTCTTTTATTAGTTTTGTTTTGTTGATACAGAAGTGTGTGTGTGTGTGTGTATGTGTGTGAAATCTCGGGCGTCCTGGAACTCAATCTGTAGAACAGGCTGCCCTTGAACTCACAGAGATCCGCCTGCCTCCGCCTCCCACATGATTCAAGGCCCGTGTCACCAATGCCCAACCTAGTTTTGGTTCTTTGGTGTTCATCTCTTTGCTTGGTGAAGGATGGTCCTTCAGCTAAGCATAACTGTGCTGTGTGACATGGTGGGATAATGCTAGCACAACCTAGCTTGTGTTGCCCCAGGAGCAGCTCCTAGTGCCTGGGAGTGAGCCACCCACAGGCAGTCTCCCTCGAGTGGACCTTCTTACCAGTAGTCGAGTTTCAGGGGTACAGCTTCCAGGCCACAGATCTGACAGTAAGGCTCCAAGTTCGAGAGTTCGTACAGCTGCAGCTGCCGGCTCCTGTTCAAGGCAAGCCTGGTTGAAGGCAACTGGAAGCTCCTCACCCCATCTCTGTAGAAGTATTTTAAATCCCACTGATTCCATAAAAAGGAGGCCCCCAACCAACGAAAATCCTGCCCTATGGGGGCTGAATCCCAGGCTTCCTGAAGCTGTCTATGGTAGGGCCATCTCTTCAGCCAGGTGCTAAGCCTGGCCACATGGCTGGTCCTTCTCCACGAGGGGCTGGTACAGTTTTCTGCTGCCTCAGCTCTGGAGCCCAGCTGTAGGGAACTCAGAGCTCAGCTTGCCACTGAGGTCTCTTCTTTGTAAAACAGTGTCCTAACAATCTCTGAGTTAGAGATGAGCCACCAAGCTGCCATGAGGTGACACATGAGAGAGTGGTTGGTCTAATGCCTGGGGACTGCTCGGGATGTCAGGCTTTGGTGTGGGGAACATAGGACATCGGATTGGAACATGAGAGATAGATGGCTCCTTCACTACCTCCTGCCTTTGGCCTACCTTAGGGTCTGCTGAGATGAGAACAGCTCTGTTAGGGCAATGAAAACAACTGATTGCTCACACCATGTTCTACCCCAGGCCCTCAGCCTGGGCCTCCCTGTACTAAATGCCATTTCCCCTCTCTTCCTTCCTAACAATGCAGTTCAAATGTGGCTCCCTGGACCCCGGTGAAGTGTGCTGCTGGCTTGCTCAGAGTGTTTAATAAGCAGCAGCAATGTCAGTCACTGAACTGTGGTGAGATCACACACAACAAGGCCATTAAGCATCTTTTTCAAAAATCAGACTGGAAGAGGTCACCGTGTCAAGTGAAATAAGCCACAGAAAGAAAAGAGACACAGTGCATTCTTGTTGGTGGCGCTGACACACATGGACCTCCCAGAACTGAGCAGAGCAGAGGCTACTTGACACTGAGAAAGGCAGTAGAGAAGGTCAGGGTGGTGGGAGAATTTAAATTAGGAACACCAAAACAGAAAGAGGAAGAATTCTTACTTTCTATAGCACAGCAGGGTAGCTATTATTTAAAATAAACTGTAACACCTTTCATTTTCTCAATGACACATAGAAATGATTAACGTTTGACTGATGATTAATCAAAGTATTACCACAATTTGATCATTACATGGTGTATCCATATATCAGATTAGCATACTGTATCTAGGGTATGCAAGTGGTTTTTTTTTTGTTTTTTTGGTTTTTTTTGTTTTTTGTTTTTGTTTTTAAGAACATAGGAGCTAGAAAGATGGATGAACTTGACCCTCTTCCCACAGGACCTGAGCTCTGTTCCCAACACCCACATTACATGACTCATAGCTGCCAATAACTCCAGTTCCAGTTCCAGTGGGTCTGACACCCTCTTCTGGGCTCCTTGGGTATTGCACTTACAATACAGATACCTAATACACACACACTAATAAGCAATAAAGCTTTTTCAAAAAATGATGATTAAAAATAAATATAATAAAACATTTAAAAATCAAATTGAGCCAAATTTATAAACGTATACTTGCTGCTAAGTAGTTAGCATAATATTAAATTGATTATATTAACTATGCTGATATTTCAACAAATAGGTTTTTGATGATGAATGAATATAAAATATTAAACCTCATGAACAATTATATTTAATAAAATAATGGGGTAAGGTTGGGGTTGGTCATGGAGATGGTCATTAAAGCCTAGAGCCTCAGGGTGTGGAGAGCTTTGGGGGCTGCTTCTAGAAATTTGGCAAGAATTTGTCACTGGGCTAGGATGGGGAAGTAGGTCAGATAAGAATATTTACATTTGGGCTAATACAAAGCTCAAGGTAAACTCAGCCTAGCAATGTGTGGCATTCCTTTTATCTTGGTCATTCTGACAAGCTCTAAAAAACAGTGACCTCGGCGGCTTTGTTTATTGCATTGTTTGATCACTTTGTCTTTGATCTAAGAACTGACTCTATTCTTTGCAAGTACCTAAAACGGTATAAAAGCAGGCTGGAGAAAAATAAGCCCGCCTCATCATCCTCACTGGCTGAAGTCAGGTTATCATGTTGTCTAATTGTCTTTTTCTTTTCAATCCTCACTCCCTCCCTTGAGACCCTGTTGACTGACTGAGCTGGCTTGGTCTCTAGGGACTTGTGGAAGAGAGTTGTGGAGAGGGTTTTTTCAGCAGTGAGGGGCTTGTATGGTAGGCAGAGTTGTAAGAACCCTTCCACCTGCCCCTTAACTGTAGCCACACCCTAAAGCCCAGAGCACAAGGCGACTTCAACTTCTACCTTCCCTCTGCGAGCCAGAGCCCTCTGAGAGCCCAAGCCTTCTGGACCTCACTCCGCAGCGGCAGCCGCAGCAAGTGACCGTAGTGAGCATGTCCATGCTCTGTATTTTACTCTGTGAATTAGTCCAGTGCAGTCAAGACTCAATTTAGACTGAAAAGAAAACAAATATACCGTTTAATCCAAATAAAGTGTGCTTGAAAAGTACTCAGACTAATTTTCCTCCTGTGGCCCTTTCTTGGTTCCAGAAGTATTTTCGACAAGACGGCTTCCTCTGAGATAATGAACTCTCGGCGTGAAGCCACACAAAGTGTACCTCTGTTTACACATATGGGCTCTAATATTTTAAGACTCCAACGTTAGCCTCACACTGCAAACGTGTGACCTCAGACCCGGATCACACTGCAAACCTTTATGTTTGTGTGACCTCAGACACAGATATGCGTCTTGTGACACCAGGACTACTCACTTTTGGTTGTGTGCTTACCCGGTTCCAATGATCACTTTGTTGTACTGTGGCATGCTGACAACGTCTGTCACCCATCGGGATTTCCGGCTGGTGGATTTGCCCTACACAATGGAAAGGAGAAAATTAAAAAAATGTATATGCCTTTAAAAACTGTATTTATTTCATTTAAATTTATTTCACTTTTGTTGAAAAGAACTGAGTTTCATTTTGTGTGCATAAGTATTGACCTGCATGTATATATGTATGGGCACTATATATGTGCTTGGTGCTCTCAGATGCCAGAAGAGGGCATCAAGTCCCCTTGGAACTCAAGATACAAATGGTTGTGAGCTCCCGGAGAGTGCTGGGAATTGAACTCAGGACCTCTGGAAGAGCAGCCATTGTTCTTAACCACAGAGCCATCTCTCCAACCCCCAATGTTTTCTTTAATTTTCTCCTTCAAGGGGAGGAACTTGGTACATTAGAAGAGCTAATTCAGTGCTTTCCCCTGGAAGGGGCTACTCAGCAGCCTGAAGGGTTTAGTTGTAGCTCCTAATTCTAAGCTGCCTGGGGGCTGAGCCTGCATGTTCTGTCCCAAGTACAGAGCCTACTTTACCACGGGAGCTCACATATTTGTTGAATGAGAGGGGTTGGGGGAGGCAGAAATGGGCGGGGCATTCCTTCTCCTAATCACACTTCCCAAATGCTTGTTGGCTTCTGAGTTTCTGATTAGTGATTCAGACGGGAAAACCGCCTCACAGGCACAACCACAAAGGGTGGGGGGGATCCCGTTCCATCTGTCATTCAGTAAGACACATGATAAATGACATGACTGAGGCATGTGTAATTCATCATTTCATCTGAATTTAGAAGCAAAAAGAAGCATTTATCTCCGACTCCTCGTAGGGCTTGTGTTTTATCCGCTTCCCCTAGACTCGCAAAATCTGCAGCAGATATATTATATTCAAGGGCACAATTTATGTGATCACGCCACTTAAGGAGAAGTTTAAAATAGCAAATAAAATCAAACCGCAGCACTCAGCATCCTTATCAAATGAAAATCACATACAAAAATTGCCTTTTTTCTTTTCAACTTCAGCTGCAGGGACCAGAAATAAATAGTTCCGTCTTCTCGGATGGTGATTAAGGTGTCATCAGGCAGAGGGAGAATGCGCAGCACGGGTGTCCCATATGTCAGCCTCTGCTGAATGGCAGGCAGCAGGAGAGAGACCTCTGCCTGCCGAGCCGCAGCCTTGGCTTGTTCCGAGTACTCCAGCTGCAGGTATGTGCAGAAACTGTCCTGGAGAACAAAGGACAACTGGTCGAGCCAACTGGTCAAGCTTTTATAAATTCTCTTTTCCATCAGGGAATGGATAAAACTCTTTTAAAAAAAGATATATTTATTTTATTTATATATGAGCACACTGTCACTGTCTTTAGATACACCAGAAGAGGGCATCAAATCCCACTACAGATGGTTGTGAGCCACATGTGGTCGCTGGGAATTGAACTCAGGACCTTTGGAAATGCAGTCAGTGCTCTTAACCACTAATCCATCTCTTCAGCCCTGGATAAAACTCTTTTCTTGGGCATTGATAGAATTGTTAGCACATGCTGCCAACCAAACAGAACAAATACCTAAGAAATGGCTGTCCCGGAACTTGCGCCCCTGTCTTCTGGACTTCATGTGTCTCCCTCAGGATTTTAGCAGTATGCCCATAAAAAGACACTTTGTGGCTTGGGAAAAAGAAGGTCGCCCTTGAACCAGAGACATGGAGGTGGGGAGCTTTGGATTCGATGAAGGCTTATTTCTTCTCCATGTCTCCCAAAACCTGGCTTGGCTAGCTTTCTTTTTGCGGACAAGAGCCTTGCATGCTTCTTTGAACACCAGGTGAGAATCTTGCGTCTGACTGGGCCAGTGAATTGGCCAGAGGTCTGACTAGGGATGGCTTACTGCCCAATCTGACATTTTTAAACTTAAGTCACACCCAGACAGGGGGGTGGGGTGTGATGGGCACCATGGCCAAGAATGCTAAAAGCAGATGTCCTACCTCTTCATAACCACTCGCTGAAAACTGAGGAGTGTTGACGGTGGTGGTGATATTCATGGCGGTCTCATGCTGTGACAGTCCTGGCTGCAAACCCTTTACAGGTGCTCACGGTTTTTCGCCACTGGCAACCGTTGACCCAAGGGACTTCTCTAACTGTTGTTTTCTCTTTGGCAATTAGGTGAAGTGGTGACCGTGACTCCCACTCTTGGTTTTAGAGTACCCTATGTAGAGCCTGCCTGAGCCACTGAGGTTCTCAGCCAAGCTCCTTCAGAGAAGAATTTGAAAGTTGCAAGCAAGCACTTTACTTTGGATCAGCTTGGAGTGGCCAAAGAGACAAAGCCAGCCTGGAGTGTCCTGTGAACCCCATACCAACGTTAAGTTGGATTTAGACCACGTGACTTACCCACTGGATTCTCCCCACTGCTTCGTAGTCTATTTTCATGAAGAGTTGTTCTATTTGTCCAATACTCTGGGAAGAAAAAAAAAAAGACTAGTAGACGTTGCTAGTGAGGAAAGAAGTAAGCGCAGATGTGCCAGACTTCAGACAAACACGTTTACAGTGAGGTTTTCAGAATGGATGTCTAAATAAACCAAATTACCTTGAGGGTTGCCCTCATTAAAAATGAGATCAAAGATGGAACAGAAAACAGAAAGCCCAGGGTGACAGCCATCACTGCTTGGCTTCAGCCTGCCTGTCCAGATCCCATTGGAGCCTGGGAGATCTCCAGGATATCTGGGGGTGGGGATGGTCCCTCCAGGGCTCTGGATGTTAGTCATGGCATGAGGATGTGGCTGTGCTAGGATTGACCCTGCTGAAGCAGCTGGGCTCAGCCAAGAGCTGGAGTACACATGTTACTGAATGAATAAGACCACATATGGGGCACTCTGGCAAACTTCATAGTGACCACCAAGTGTATGCCAAACTCTGGGAGAGGCCTAGGTTTCAGAGCTGAAAGTTAAGAGGGTAAAAACCTCTATCGCACATGGACCTCACTGGTTGAGAACTTTCTGTAATTGCAGTTAAACCTTAAAACCAACAGATACACCACGCACGTAAAACTACCCTCATGACATGAACTGCATTTAATAATGGACAGGTTGTTTGGACTCTGTGCTTTGAAATTGTCAAAATTTCTCACTAGTCTCTCGTGATTGAAGAACACTCAAGTTGAAACACTAAGATCTGGGCTAGAGGGCTGGCTCAGTGGTTAAGGGTGCTTGCTGCTCTTTGAAGGACCTACGTTCAGTTCCCAGCACCCACATCAGGTGACTCACAGCCATCTATAACTCCAGCTCCAGGGGATCCAACACCATCTTCTGGTCTCCTTGTCACTGCACACACACACACACACACACACACACACACACACACACACA